ATATAATAAATAATTATAGATTTTTTTTTTTTTTTACACAGAAAGGGCGATGTGGGATGGATTTCGTTTTTCGTGAATCTTCGTATCTCTCATTATATATAAAATTGTACGATTATAAATCTCTATCAATTTTTATTTTTTTTTTTTTCACTAAGGAATGCTCAAACAATCTTAGTTTTATTATGTGTATAAGATACATGTGTGCAATAAAATTATGTGTGTGTGCAATGTGTGCACGTACATTAAATTATTACATGTATGTGTGCGATAATGCTTATAGATAATCTGGATTGTTGACAATCGAAGCTATATTGACCAAATTATGTAGGCCAACGAAACTGTAGGCAATTGAGATTGTAGGCAAATGAACCCCTTCCAATTATTCCCGTTCGTTGAACCCCGTTTCGAAAAGAACCGACTTGATTTCTTTTATGGTTGCACAGTCCACTTTCCGTGAGACAATGATACATTGTTCAAGGATTTGCTTCGATTTAGGATATAAATAAATAATACGTTTAATTTGTGCGTGAAGATCAAATCAACATTCACTATATTTTATCACAAATTTTTTATATTATTTATTTAATTAGATAAAAAGATAATTAACATTATGTATATTGCAAGTATCAGTTTCACTTCAATTATTTATTTAATTATAATGTAGATATATTTAAGGTAGATATTGCTATTATGCAATATTCCTATGATTGTTTTTTTTTATATATTAAGGCTGTATGTACATAAATCATAGATATAGTATATATTACAGATTGAACATTAATGATTGAGCCTAAGAAAGTAGGAAGAAAGCGAAGACATAGCTGGAAGCTTCATCTTTCTTTAATGAAAGAAAGTGGGAATAGCTAGAACAATTGAATGTTTGATTATATGGATATATCAAAAATTTCAATTCTGTTATGTCATTGCGCAAACGTGAATAGAAAAACAAAATTTTAGATTTTAATTAATTTTATATATAGTGCTCTTAAATATTCTTTTTTTTTGTTTTTATATTAGTACATATCAATTAAAGCATAAAAAATATTTTTAAAATAAAAATTATTGATATATTTTTGTACAATGCATATATGAATGTATGTATATATATGTGCATATATATATATTTCGATTATGATACGAGTTTTATAAACCTTTTTATGATGGTCATGAGTGTGACTCTGCGTCCGTTCGGCGGAGGGATAAGCGATCGGGAGAAACGCGAAATTACCATGATTCGTTCAATATCGAAAGTAACATTGACCCCGATCCAAATCGGGGGTCCTACTTATTAGAAAAGATACTTTAGGTCGCACCTGTATATCTCGCACGAAACCGGTTCAGGAATCATCTTAACCATGGGATGCGCTTACTTTTCAGACGACGCGGTAGTGGACAACTTCGCAACGGCGAATCCTTTTACAGGCATCAAAGGTTGAGTTTGAAGGAGATTTCGCTCACGGAGCGGGATCTAGATGCTAGATAGGATTGGGACGAAATAGAAGAAAGGAAGAGCGAGAGAAGAAAAAAGAGAGTTGTGATAGACGCGAAAAAAACAAGAACAAGATAAGGGAAGAAAGAGGGATGGGCGCTGGGATGGGTAGGAGTGGCACGAGCGGCGGTCTTCTCGAGGCACTTCCCACGGGAACTCCGTTCCATGTGGCAATGCTTGGTCTCGATAGTGCCGGAAAGACAACCGCCCTGTACAGACTCAAATTCGATCAATATCTCAATACTGTGCCGACCATCGGTTTTAACTGCGAGAGAATTCGCGGCGGCATCGGAAAAGCTAAAGGTACGTTTTCCTCATTTCTGTCCATCTTTTCTTAATTATTTACAAAATTCAATAAATTAAATCTTAAGTATTTAGCCTTCTTAAGTATTTAAATATTTAGCCTTAAGTATTTCATCTAATATTTTTTAATGTAGGTGTTAATTTCCTTGTATGGGACGTCGGTGGACAGGAAAAGTTACGGCCATTATGGAAATCATACACGAGATGCACAGACGGTATCATTTTCGTCGTTGACTCCTGCGACACCGAGAGGCTTGAAGAGGCAAAAATGGAACTGACTAGGACAGCGAGGAGTCCGGACAATGCGAGTGTGCCGATTCTAATTCTCGCCAACAAACAGGATTTACCTGGTATATAACCGATACTACAAACATTATACATATGTACACATAAAGGACAGTGGAACAAGAAATTTTTCTAAAGGTATACGTAAACAGCACGAAGCACATCGTTTAAACATTAGAGCTTATCAAAATAAATTATTTATTTATTTGTTAATCATTGATTAAATACATAAAATACGCAATTCCTTTCTTATAGGGGTTTATTATTCAATTTATTATTGTCTCTAGTAAATCTTTAATTGCTTCGGAAGGTGACGTAAGAACAAATTTTGCGCGCGCACATGTAGAGCTTTAATATAGAGATTACCAATTTACTCAATTTATCTCTTTTTTTCTACTTTTCTCTTTTTCTTTTCTTTCTCTCTCTTCTTTTCTCTATCCTTTTTCTTTTCCTTCTTTCTTTCTTTCTTTCGTTTCCCTTTTCTGTTTTTTTTTTCTTTCCTCCTTTCCTTTTATTTTTTCTATCTTGTTTTCTTTTCTTTCCTTTTTTTTTTGCCTTGTCTTGTCTCTTCCTCTTTCTCTCCCCCCTTTCTCCTCTCTCTCTCTTTTCTCCACTCTTTCTTCCTCCTTTTTTTTCTTTTTTTCCTTTTTTCTCTCTTTTTTATCTTCTTCTTTTCTTTTTTCTTTTCTTTTAACACTTTTTATCAATTTATTAACTTTAATCGATATTAGTTTTTTTACTTTGGAATGTAGTTTATATATATAATATAGATAGTTTGTGGAGAAAATTTAATATAGTCAGTAGGTAAATAACGATATACAGTAAATGTAATTCTCTAGCTTGAATATTTTACTTCGTTTTGTTAATAAGCTGCTGTCTACAATCTAGGCGCGAAGGAAGTCAGCGAACTGGAAAAGCATTTGGGAGTTTTGGAACTAACTGGAATGCCTGGTAGTTCTTGTATTCGTGTACAACCAGCGTGTGCTATTACGGGCGAAGGACTCCACGAGGGCTTAGACACACTATATCAGTTGATTTTAAAGCGACGCAAGTTGGCTAAACTGAATCGGAAACGAGCCAGGTAGGCCAGGGCGTCGGAAGACTGCACATGCGTCTTCTGATATTGTCAATCGCGGACAGTTTCTCCTTTAACAACACTTTCTATAACTTCCACTTCATCTTCCTTTCCCAATTGTGATGGGGAACCAACATAGTGACTTGAAAGAAGAGAATGGTGTCGATCATCTTTTTTTGACTTTTGTTCGCGGTGAAACTAACGCTGTTGAAGCGATGTAAAGCTTATGTTGAGCTTTTGTATGTGTGTGTATGTATGTTTGTACATATAAATATATATCAACTGTAGAGCTGCATTGATATAAAAAAAATGAGAACGAGGGATTTTAACGACTATTGTTCCTCTTTCTGTATTAGATTGTTGCATATAAGATATGAATTTTTTACTAAAAGTTGAAAGAATTGTTATTTAAATATGTACAATGGAATTTTAACTAAAATATGTTATAGTTGCGAGTGTATTTAGTTTATTGCTCAGACAATGAAAGGCGAGCAAAGTATGAAGAAACGGTTTGAGATACCGACAAATTTTTTTTGTCAAACTAATAAAAATAGTGCTTTTAGCACCATTTACAAGTGAATTTACAATAATAATATATTTAGGGAATAATATATTTATATTTGTTATATGATAGAAATTTGTTTTGGTAATAGAGTGATATGGATTTCAGTGGAATTTATGCTAAGTTAAATTTATTTTGTATGCAACAATATAATGATTAAAATAATCATAAATATAAATGTGTGACAATGCTAGTCGACTGAGAAAATTTTATCATTGCGATGAAGAAAAAGTTCATATGAAAGTGGTATATAAATGTAAGTAAAAATTTGTAAATAAATTGAAAAAACTATAATTTTATGCTGGCACAAATTTAAGATGCATATTAACACGAACAACGAAGTTTGTCAATGTGGAAAATCTGTGGTCATATAACGTCTTAAATCATCTAGCAATATTTTAGTAAATGCTACTATCGTTATATTATTATTACTACAACATAATTGTTCTCATATTTTTCAAGTATGAAACAATACGGCAATATGTTCTATTTATATATGCAAAGAATCGACTGCTTATTTCTTAAAGTTCATATCTATTTGTAAAGTTTTTGTTATGAATATAGATGTATAAATGTATAAATGTATTTGTTATTAAGGAAACATGATTATTATTACAAGATACAATAAAGTGCAATTTTATTAATTTAATTTTCTTCCATTTATAAAATTAATCTAAAAATCTAATAAAACAATGTGTGTTTGCGATTAATCGGATTACGTTGCTTATCAGAATGTCGTTATATATTTTCTACAAAATTTCTTTTCCCTACTTTTTTTCGTTTGCTTCAATCTCAATAGTTAAATGCTTTTGCTCTTGATTCAAAAGTACATTATTTGACCTCATTGCATTTATTTCGATATTGCTACATTTGCTCTAGAATGTCAAATCGAAAATCATCTGGCAACTTGGAACGGTATGTGATAAAGTCGTTATGTTTGCAATAATCGGTGAAAAAGGTGAGATATTGAATTTCTTCATCCGTCGGTTTCAGCGCAAGTGACGGCGGCTTCGTCTTCACCGTGATAGGCATCGAACGTCGATTTAATGGTCGCTTCTTTTTCGTAGGCGGTTCCATGATGCGTTTCAGCGCATCCAATAATCGGTGCATTAACTGAAACTAGTAGATATACAAATTATAATCCAAACATTAATTATGTTCAGGATGTTCCTATAAAATAACTATCTATTTTGATGAAATTACAGGTATTTTAAAAAATTGTTATACACTATGCGTAATGGGGTATGTCCATTGTTATATAAATTCATGTATTTATAAAAGTTTAATTGCTTTACACGATTTTTCGTAAATTTTTTTATTTTCTTTTCAGACCCATATCATTAATGATGAATATGTAAGAACGCATTTATATAGAAACATACAGGATAAAAGGCATAAATTTTTCATAATTCTTATTATTTCACAAAATAGATAGTCATTTTAGGAACATCCTGTATATAATTATATGGAATAATTATGCAAGTTATTTTGTATAATGTAATCATTATTAAAAGGTGTTTAAGATATTTGCAAGGTTTATATTTATCACGGATAAAAAATAAAGTTTTGAATTTGAATTCTACCTTTCTTGCAGCATTTTCCGCCTCCTTTATAGCTTTTGTTTCTTGTTTGAACCCTTCCTTCTCGCAAGCCCGGACAATTTCACGAGGTAAATTGTCCAACTGACGATTGAATTCTTCATGGATTCTTTCGATCCATTTCATCATTGTAAAGCTATCGAGATTTGCATCGTTTGGACCTACGCAACTCTCATAAGTGTCCTCCACGAAAACATGAAGATAGAGTACCTCTTCAGAGCAGACAAGACGTCGAAAAACATTTCGGAGAAGATAATTGGCATGTTCTTCAAGGTTTGCAGCTCTATCCTCCGCTTTGCTAATGGAATTCTATTGAATACTTTGATTCGTAAAACTTATCATTAATGATAGAAAGTATTATTGTATAATGTTGTATATTGTTGTAAGAAATTGAAAGAGTTAAATCTTGTACAGATTTTTAACATTTTTCTGGCAAATGATAGTATTTAAGAAAATTTTATAAAGTCTAGTTGAAACATTTTTGTATGTATTTTTAAATGAATAATTGAATTTGGATTGACATGTACTTCTAAATCATCAATCGTTGAAGTAATTTCATCGATTTCCTGCTTGATCTGTATTTCTGTTGCAGTGATAGTCATAGCCATATCCGCCATTGGTGCAGCAAGCGATTCGAGATGAATAAGTGCGTTTAAATTTTGCGTTTCCATCGCTTGAAAAATACGGATTAAATCGAAAGGATCCTCAAAATAAAGCTCGGTGGGCCCAACATCACTAACGTCCTGCTCGAATAGCTCTAACACGGGGAAAAATAGTTTATATTTTTTTTACTGGATTAAAATAATTAAAAACGAAATGTTTTAGCATATTTTTTAAAATCTATAATACCGAAGTAGTGCCATGCAAAAATGACGACATATAAAGAAATTAATTAAATTTGACGTGTAATGCAAGAAAAAGATTTATACGAGTTTTTTACTATAGCATTTTAACACAGTATGGCTGTGCGTGATAAAAAGTCTTAAAATCTTTAATTTTATTTCTTATATTTAGGATAAAAAAAATACTAAATGTTTTATCTGGAATCACCTATTAAGTCCTCCAAAGAGGCTTCTTCATCTGGTGTTTTATATTTGCTAAATAAATTCGTAGCATCAATGGAAACAATGCTTCCTGAATCAAATCGGGAAAGCCAGTCATGCTTGATTTTCCAAGAGATAGGTGATATCCGATAAAGGAAAATTTGACACATTTTTACTATTCTCCAATTATCTTCCCAAAAATAAACATCCAATCTGCGTTGACCAAATTGTTTCGAGAGTTCATTTTTTTGACTGTTGATTTCTTCTGTCAGCTTCACTTCCTGTTCCGCTTTTTTCAGCATATCCATACTTTTTTCGTGATCTTTTGACAGGAATTCTTCGAAGCCACTTACGTATCGTTCACTATAATACTTTTATGAAACGGTAAAAAAATGAATCAATTTACATCAAAAAATTACTCGACTAATTATATCGTATCAGATCACTAAAAAGCTTTTCGCGCGTATATAAAGTGTTTTATCTAAGTTTATCATCTTCGTTATTAGATAAAGACTTTTCATAAGAATATTAATAAGGAATTTTTGATTATATCTCTCATACCTGGATCTTTCGCAGTCTGTGTGATTCTTGTTCAAACTGTTGATCGATGCGAATGTAATCGTCCTTTTCTTGACCAATAAGATGTTTCATTTTCAGTATTTCTCGTATATTTTCAATATATTGTTTCAATGAAAATTTTTCTTCTACTGGTCTGCCAGATAATTCTATAAAATACTGTGGATCCACATCCGTCATTGCGATTGCTTTGTCCGCATCCTTATTTCTTTTTCTATTTATTTCAACATTTACCTGTGTAAATTTTTGAGGAATTATGACAATACATGACATGCATATTTAAAATTTTTTTTTTTAATTTTGTGTGGATTTGCGATACGACAAACATTGATATTATAAAGCGCTTAAAGGACAAACAAGTACAATAAAATGCTTTCTTTAAATTAAATATTTCTAGAATAAAAATTATATGGGAGCAGTTTGTTTTACACAATAGAGTTCAAAGTTGTAACATACATGTAATTTTTGCAGAATATCTGAAGATTGCAAAGTTATATTGTTTTGTTGATTCTTGTAGATTATTTTACGACGTTTGCGTATTGTTCTTTTCTTTTGCGCCTTCCACCATTGAAGATGAGCCAAGGTTTGGGAACAGGATGGAAAAGTAAAAGGCGACTGTTCTTCTTTTACCGTTCCTTTGTGATCGCTGGGACAATATAATGACGCATTTTTAAATATTATCAAAATTTCTCGTATAATAACAAGTAATATATATATTTTTCTCTGCTTGAAGGTACAAATACGTCTGTTTTATATTAAGCAATTTTATTTAAAATATAAGAAAATGCAATCGAAAAAAAGAAAATGTTTCGAAGCGTGTAACACATGATTACCTGTACATCGCTGGTGTGCGATTATTTTGATCGATTTCGTATATTTTGGAATTCATCTTTCTCATCAATCAGAATTGGAAGTCATTTATGCAAACTTGCGGTAACTAAGTGAGATCAGCCGAAAGATTTAATTTGTTTGACATGCGCTTTGTATTCCTATTGTATAGCTATATATATATATATATATATATATTCAATGAGCTTTCAACACAGTTTCACAATGTATGTACATACGTAATGTATGTACGTACTTGGCGTCGCTAAAATTTAAGATAAAAGAGTTAATTATTTGGTGAAATTTTTAATATATATTTTAACATTTTAAACGTTACCGCAAATTATAATCTCGTTACAAAAAGAAAATTTAAATTGTTTTTATAATATAAAAAAATATTTTGATTATATCTCTGCATAGAATAAGTAATTTTTATTCGCATATAAAACAATGAAAGGTTTTAGCCATCGCTCATTATTTATTAAAAATTCTGTACATTTAGCCACATATACACATACCCACACACACATATACATACAATTACAATCTTGTATAGAGTAATAGTCTTTCTTCTGTATCTATCCGTAACTAATAGTGTAACCCATAGACAACATCAGTGTCTCTTTAATCGCCGGATGCAATTGATTTTCGATATATCTAGTCAATACTTGACTAGCACCTTGTAAAAACACATCTTCCATTTCCCTCGTAATATATTCTTTCGATTGCCAATTCCTATTCGGATCTTCCGAATCGATAGAAAATAGATTATCGAAATTGTCATCTGCTACGAATTCTCTTACTTCCCGGGATATATTTTGCGACGGATCTTTGTTTTGAATGTTGTTGGTTGAATTAAGAATGTTGGTGAAGTTTACAAACTTTTCCGTTTGTTCGCGTTCATTCACGACAGTGTCTGCGAAGTCTTGCGGTGTAATAATCATCGCGATGCGCCCGAATTGATGTTGAGTCGTCGTCGAACGTCTTTGGCGTAATAGTGATTTAGTAATCCACGAATTCTTCTTCCATACGCCGAAATTTGTCTCATGAGCATGCGAGTAACGTGGATGTCGACTCTCATTGGATATAACAACGTCCGTTTCTTCAGTGATTTCCGCTAATTTTCTCGGTTCTGCCGCATCGTACTTTTCATTCATAGGTAACAAGGGTGTCGGTGTTACCTGTGACAAAGGAAAAAAGATAAAATATTATACAATATATTATTTACAATTTTCTCTGCGTTTTTATTCTATATTTATTTTCAGCCAGATGTCATGAAATAAGTTTTACAATTTCGTAAAAATATTATTTTGTAAAAGTATGTAGCTTTTACCTTATCATTGCCTGAATTATAGTATGGTGGCCATTTATCCTGTCGTTTAATTTGTTTGTTGAGGCGCGTAGGATGACAGCCGTATGCATAGATCGAGGCGAATCTAGGTTCCAAGAAACTGGATTCTGTACGTATACGCATCTGGCCGCGTCCACGGGCGATCGGACTCGTAAGAAAGTCTATTCCTGCTCGTCTCAACCGTAATGTCATTCTACAGGATTCGGCGGAAATTGGAGCATGATAATCTCGTGGCATTAAAGATACTGTCGCGGACACTGACAGATCATTAAATATAACGCGTGTTTTCAGAGAATTGTTATCGGGCTCATACACACATTGTTCAACTCGCGCCCAATGGCCTCCCGCCTTTTTTGTGTTCTCCAGGAACTGCAAAATAATCCAAATTACATGCATGATTTGTTTATTATTCGATCAATTTTATTTATTTTTTATAACACAATTTTTTTTTAATCTCTTACGCGTTCACTGAGTAATCGACATAGAATTGATAATGCAAAATAAAAAAAAAGATTTTAGATATTAATTAGAAAATTACCTTTATAGTCATACGGGAAACAGACATTTCTAGGGGAATAGAACGTAGTTCCCGCTGGTACAATGTTCCAGTCTTCTCTTCGTCCAATTTGTTTCTTTTGGTAGAATCTCTCTGAATTGCGTCCAAAGCACGCTCCAATCGTCCACTACATGCATCCCAATTGCTAATATCAGCATACACGAAACCAGTCGACAAGAGCATAAATAACCGAATTGTTAACGGTCTGAACTGCATCACCTGTAGTATATATAAGTGTTATAATTATTTTTATTATATACAGCATATAAATAAAAATTTATGAAATCAAGAAGCGAGCTGTCCAATTGCAAGTATGCAAAGTATCTTAGATTATCAGATCTCAGTAATGACTAATTGTCATTACTGAAAGACATTATCGGTTTATAAGCCAATCAAGTTCTTATTTTGAATAAATAATAAAATATATACATTAGTACCTGTGAAAATAGAAAAAATAACACATCTGCTGAAAGTACTTTTATATATCGCTGAAAAATCTTTTTGAAGAGTAATATGTTACATAACAGTTAAATTTTGTGTTTGCTCAGATAATTACCAGTTAAATTAAGGAAAGAGATCTCTAATGTTATGCAATAAAAAAAAAATAAAGAGAAGAATGCGCATCTTGTGAATGTGTATCTTAATTGAGGTGATGTTTAATTAACAAAATGAAATAAAACTTGATATTTTAAGCGATACAGCAACGACTACGATTTATGCGTTCGTCTACCTTCCCCACCCAAAGTATCTCCCAAGGCATATCCTGTAGAAACTCGGTGAACTCAAGTCGCCGAAACAGAGCATGAAAGCGTCTCCATTCTGCCTATCGTAAATGACAATTGGATTGTGTGAAACTAGGAAGTATGATCATTTTGGGTAGCTCATTAAGAATAATAATGCAGTATGCCGAATTGATATCAATCTGTAGATTTGATAAAATTATTCTTATCACAATCAATTTCTCAAAAAAAAAAAAAAAAAAAGATAAAAAAAAAATTTTTAAAAAAATGGCGGGGCAGTGCCGCGA